GGGTACCTCCACAAAAACACAGAAAAAATGATAGCTAACATTTAAAATGCATTTTTAAAAACGAAAGATTTTTCTTGAAGCTTTTATTTTAGTTTTAATAGATTAAATTTAATATTTCCAATAAGCAAAATACTGTATTTCAAAACTTATTTAAAACAAATTCAAATTGACTGGAAGAATTTTTGTTTTTTGCTAAAATAACTGATTAGCTCTCGTCTTTAATCGCAAAAAAAATCTTTCAAAATATCTTCGAAAAAAAATCTTCCAAAAATAAAATATACTTTTTGAAACTTTATTTGAAGAATATTAGCTGACATAATGTACAATTGATGGTTTTAAGTTTTAAAATATCACAGAAATGCATTTTTTTACCCAACAGTAGCTGTGCTTTTAACCGCTTATGTTGATGTGTTTGGTAAGGTGATGATAGGTCCAATGTTGTTCTACGGAGACTTTATATGTAAACCATAATTGAAGAAAACGATGTGAGCACTTTTTTTATTTAATTTTTAAGTACTCAATAATGTTTAAAATTTTAAAAATTATTCTCTGCGATCCAATTTTTTTATAATGTCGTGTATGGTCGCCCGTACTTGAAAAAAAAAGGCAAGTTTATTCAATAATAATAAAATAGAAGACATTTAAAAAATATTGATGATTTGTATTAAGCTTTTACATTTATGATTTGTAATTATAGTTATCAATTAATAACATCATCAAAACAGCTAAAATTAATGTAGAATTTTAAAAGATTTAAAACTTAATTTTTTTAATTAAAATTTAAAAAAGAATAGAACTAGTAAAAATTCATTATTCATTAAAAAAGTTTTTTTTTTTCTTAAGACAATAGTGTTCTTAATATGTCTTATTTTTAAAAGCAATTAAAAGATTGTATAACTAAATAATATCACACTTTTATTGATTTTTTTTTATTTTATTTTACGATTCAGAGCAGATTTTCAGTCAACGATGTTTCGGATTGACAAAAACAAATTGACGATTTAAATTCTCCAAGAAAACCTGCTTTTAACTAATATAAAAACAAAAATCCTGAAATTTTTAATTTCTCGAAATTTCATAAAATTTAGTGGCGGTAACAGATGTAAAAAAAATATTTTTAACCAAGATATCCTGAAGAAAATATTTTTGAAAAGTAATTTCATTCATTTGTAAACAAGTCCTGAAAAATCCGACAATTATTTGAATCTTGTAAGAATTTCCAAAAGGATGTGTTTTTTCACTCAAAAAGACGCGAAATCTAATCTTTGGTCTTCCACAAACGCAAGGAAAACAAGATTTTTAATCAAAATTTCGAACGTATTAGAAAGGATTAAAAAATTAATAGAAATACTTTGCTTTTTCCGCTTAATAATAACATAAACATTTTGGTGATAAAAACTTTTTTATCAAGTTGGGGAACATTTTATCAAACTATACTCTTTTTTAGAAAAGTTTTTAATGTACCTAATTATTATGTAGTAATTTAAGGGGATCAATTTATTACTTAATAACAGTTTAAAAACAATCCTTCATTTTATGACCAGTAGGAACATTAATACGTGTTAATTCGATAAAAAAATGACGCCATATTTTTAAGTCTCTACTAATATTAGAAAGGTTTTCAACGATAGTTATATTAATATAACCATTTAATATAACTATGGTTATATTAATATAATCATTTTTGGCGAGGTTGGGAATGGCGATATTAATATAATGGACGCGTAGCCTAGTGTTTAAAAAGTTCACTTTCTGACCCTGGTCGATTGGTCAAAGAGGTGAACCCAGCGCGTGCCAGATTTAGAAAATGTTTAAAAACCATACCACGGGTTGATCCAAGCTTTGTGGCTGGAAATGGGTAGACAGAACTGTTCAAAAGACGTTAAGGATTGCGATAGCACGTATGTAATAAGTCATCGGGGCCGAGGGTTTGAGAATACCTGTAGCGTTGAAAAAAAAATTGATCACACTTGATTATGCGTTCTCTTTCAGAACTTGTGACTAAGATCTGCTCAGTATAATTGCAATATAGACAACAGTGTAGGCCTCTGTAATAGGATTTGGCTAGCCACTCTGGCAGACGCTTTTGTTAGGAAACCTGAAGTAGTCCGCCATTATATTTATATTTCATTATCATATCAATATATGGTAATTTAAGAAAGTCAGTTTATCACTTCGTCCAGTAGAAATAAATTAATACTAGTTTAAACATGCTGTCAAAAATGGCGCCATATTTCAAGTCTTTATTATCGGTAGTACTTATTATTTATTAAGTATTGGGGGATCGATATAATACTTGATTAAAACAAAGCAGATCTCCCATTTTATATCCAGTAGGACATTATATTAATACCAATGTACCCGTGCCGCCAAAATTGACGGCAAGAAGGAATTTATTATAAGTAATATGTATTATATTGTAAGTAATTTTCGTTTAATCCAAGTACACTTTTGTAATTTAAAATAGTTCGTTGCTAACGTTAATAATTCAACAGTGTACAATTTATAAACACCTCAGGGAAAGATATCCGTATTCTATCTTCATAAAAATTACATATTTACAACCAATTTTTTTTTACTGCAAAACTTCTCAAAGCAGGATATTATTTTGTGTAAACTTTGGAAGTTCTGAGTTACCCTTGACAGTCCGTAGATTCAATCTGTAATTTCCTAGTCTGGTTAAAAAAAAAGTGGGGGGAGGGGAATTGTTACACACGCACAAAAAAAAGTTAGAATATACTCCTTGCTATGAACAGTGTCGCCGTTGTTTGGGAAGGTTTCTTTGTAGATAGTCAGCGTGGTAGCTTTTTGCGTGTGGACGTGAATGGGGTCCTAACTTCTGTGCGTCCCATGTTAAAATTTTGCACACTACCCATCAATTGTTACACAAAAAAAAACTGATGACCAGATAAAAACTTTAAGTCTCGAAACATAGAAAGTTTCGTGTCGCAATGTAAAATATTTTTAATAAAATATCATTATATATATATATATATATACATATATATATATATATATATATATATATATATATATATTATATATATATATTAATAAATATATATATATATTAATAAAATATATATATATTAATAAATATATAATATATATTAATAAAATATATATATATATATATATATATTAATAAATAAATAAATATATATATATATATATATATATATATATATATATATATATATATATATATTAATAAATATATCTGCATTTTATCGGGACTTGTGTCATAAACAATTAATTTCAATACCAAACAACAAACTACATGTTTTCCCTTTCAAAGTAATATATATATATATATATATATATATATATATATATATATATATATATATATATATATATATAGATAGATAACTAGACTCGTTTCGAAAAACCCTCAAATTTTTGATTTCCTAATCAAATCAATCTCGAGGGAAAAAAAAGGTTTTAAAGAAAGAAAAAGCTACAAACATGAACCTCTGCCGACAAAAAAAATCGCACAGATGCAGGTCTGAAGCCCAAAGAAAAAACCCCGATACGAGTAACAACTAACTAACAAAAGAGCTCAATACAACCGTAGAGCAGACCTAGATAAACCCTAGTGAGCCAGACAAACCTACCTGGGTTTCACCTAAACGGATCGTCAGGGAAAGTTTGGAAAGTTTCCCTGACGATCTGTTTAGGTGAAATAGGTAGGTTTGTTGGCTACTAGGTGTGTGTATATATATATATATATATATATATATATATATATATATACACGTTTGAGTACTACTTAAGTTTCGTTGTTTTACCAACTTATCTGGCACCAAATATGATTTACAACTCTATCTATACATATATATATATATATATATATATATATATATATATATATATATATATATATATATATATGGCGTATATATATATAGATGACGTTACCGATATCCTAAAAAGGCGCCATATTTTGTAAAAGTCCTTACTAATATTTAGTTTTCACATTTTAGTTTTTAGATATATTTTTTCAAAAATTGTCACATTAATACGAGGTCTGTCTGAAAAGTAATGGGACAGGTGACAGAAACAATTTATTTCAATTCCAAACAAACAACTACATGGTTTCCCCTTGTAACGTAATCGCGTTCGAGTCAAATGCAATTTTCCATCATTCTCTGCCACACATCTACACACTGCTAGATGGATTCTTCTTGGATGGCCCGTCATCTCCGGTGTTACGTCCCTCTTGATGACATCCAAACCTTCAAAACGACTCCCCTTGATGATCCTTTATGCGCTTGGGAAAAGGAAAAAAAATCACATGGAGCAAGATCAGGTGAATAGGAGGTTGTTCCAGTACGGCGATGTTCTTCTCAGCCAGGAACTGCCGGATGCTCAAGGCGCTCTGAGCAGGTTCATTGTCGTGGTAAAGCAGCCACGATTTCACCAGACACAAGACACGCCCCTCCTTAATCGGCACAGGATCTCTTTGTAGACTTAATCATTAATCATCTGACTCTGTGGCAAGAACTCACCGTGGACGATGCCTCTCACATCGAAGAACGTGATCAGTACCGTTACTTTTCAGACAGATCATCTATGTATTACTTTAAGGGGGTTCAATTTATCACATAATAGCAGTTAAAAACCATCCCCCACTTTTTTTCCGTTAGAACTTTATATTAATATTAGTTTAAACATGCCGTCATTCTTGACGTCAGTGTTTTTAATTCTTACTAATATTAGGTTTTTCCCAATATTTTTCTAATATTAGGTCTTTACATATATTTGTTACAAATATTGTCATATTAATATTTAGTAATGCAGAACGGGGGGATCAATTTATTATTTAATAACAGTTTTACAATGACCCCCCCACCACCACCACCACTTTCTATCGAGTAGAATCATTTGCTTGTCCCTCACTTTGTTCTGTAGTTAGCATGTACGTTACGTCATACCAATGCCTCATGAATAATGGACTATTCCGTTTTGATCGCATGGAAAGACAGGGAAGACAATACTTGGAGAAAATGAAAGAAGGAAGGAAAGAAAGAAGGAAAGAAAAGAATGAAAAAAGAAAGGAAGAAAGAAAGAAAAGAAAGAAAAAGGAAAAAGGAAGGAAAGAAAGAAAGATGGAAAGGAAAGGAAGAAAAAGAAAGAAAGAAAGAAAGAAAGAAAGAAAGGAAGGAAGTATAGAAAAAAGAAGGAAGGAAAGAAAGTAGGCAAAAAAGCGAACGCCCTGCCAATACCTCATAAATAATAGACTCTTCCGTTCTGATCGCGTGAAAAACAGAAAAGACATATCAGAGACGCTACTTGGTTTCAGTGAGAAAAAGAAAAAAAGAAAGAAGATAAGATAGATGTGTTCAACGTCTTTTTCTGCGAAATGGAAAGTGTTTTCAGTTACAAATATTTTCATTCGTACTCCTTTATTTATGGTAGTTATTTTAATATTTTGTTAAAGTTGCGATAGGCGAATTTCTACGGGTATTTTATCGTCGTAGAACAAGACACGAGCTTATTCTATCATTAACTGTAGAATTAAGATTCAGCAGAAAACTGTGAAAATGTCACGGCTATTTCTAGTTGATTGATTGACACCAGTTTAAATATGCGGTTAAAAACGACTACATATTTTTACATATGAGTCTCTAAATATAATTTTCTCGGTATTATTGTCGAACTATTTTCTTTCGCGGAATCTACCGTTTCACCTCCTCATTAAAGGGAGATGAATTACATCAAGAATTACTGACATTATTTTTTTAACATATATTTACGAAACTGGATATATTTATATCTTTATGAAGGAAACACAGTTGGTGTGATAGCTACTGGTACGGAAAATCGTATCGGTGGGCCGAGGTCGAATTCTGAATGTTTTCAAAAGACATTAATCCATCTCACTCCCTTCCAGCTTTGGTTTAAATAGTAGGGTAGACTGAGAGATTTAGTCTTGGTAGTCATAATAGGCTAGGAAAAGGATAATTCTAGATTCAAAATCTGCCCATAGAAGAACGAGATTCGTCAGTCTAACTTTCTTTAAATCATTTCAGAGCAAGCCACGTTTCTGTTTGTGTGTGTGTTTTCAATTTTTTTTAAGCGTTTCACCCCAAGCAAGGCGAAAAGCCACTAGGACGCAAGGGGTTACAGAAAATTTGGAGCAAGATCAGATAGGAGTGATAGAAGAAAGGATGAGGAGAAGGATAGTGGATAGATCAAGGCAACTGGAGATGTCGATTGACATTACATTTGAATAGCTGGAGATTATAGCTTTCAGGGAAAATGGAATAGGGAAGGGAGTTTCACAGGCGAGAGGTGCGAGACATGAAGCTATTGGAGTAGAAGAGACGGCTACATTTAGGAGTTTCGACAGTGAAAGGGTGAGAGCGAGATGCCAGCCTCGTAGGGCGCTTGAACCCATGAAGTCTGGGAACCAGTGAATGCAGTTCCTCGGAGCAATTGCCATGAAAGTATTTATAAAACAGACAGAGAGAAGCGACGGCGCGTCTGTGAGAAAGTGACTGTAGACGAGATGCCAGAGCAGAAATGTCCACCGAACTAGACATAGAAAGACTTATTAAAGAAAATATACCTCTCGACAGGGAGAGACATTATCTTTTGGAAAATTTTCTTTCCCGGGGCCACTAGATATTAATTTACTATTTGGAAAAAAAAAAAAACATGGATATCTATTCAAACACTTGTATCAAGCAAAATACCGTTTACACGAATGAAAATATTTTTGATCTGAGTTACGATCAGGTTTAACTTAAGGAATCTGATGAGAAACGATGATTTAATGTGGTGTGACCATATGCATCAGAGAACACCAAAGATGAAAAATGTTTTAATCGATTCTTAATGTTAAATCATCACAAAAAATTAGGAAAATAAAACTTAGAAAAATGTTATTCATGTTTTATAATAAAATAAAATACGCCAAAAGAAATTATAGAAGATCGAATAAATGTAATGTTTAAAATTCTAAAAAAAACATAAACATTTGTTTGAATATAAGGAGAGGCTATTTATGGACGATAGGATTAGTAAGATTTATATATATATATATATATATATATATATATATATATATATATATATATATATATATATAAAAGAAAGAGGTTGTAGTGGTTCCAACGAGAGAAAAGTATGTATATTAAAAAGAAGAGAAGCGAGGTGTCGCATACGTTTTTGGTTGTAATGTGGATTTATTTAGAAAAAATATTATTTTTTGTTTTACATAATTTTACTACACGTGTTTCTGGTCTCGTCGCCGTCTTCAGGTAAAAGCGGAGATTTCCACATATTATTAAAAATAATTAATTTTTTCTTTTGTTTTTCAATGTTAAATATTCTCGATATTAGACATTTTCTGTGTTAGTAATCCGAATTTCTTTCTTGAATATTCTCGATATGAGACATTTTCTGTGTTAGTAATCCGAATTTCTTTCTTGTATGAATGATACATTGTAATATAAATAGAACTATATATATATATATATATATATATATATATATATATATATATATATATATATATATATATTTAAATCATACCTGATGAGTTGATAGAACCGTGATCAGGCATGATTTTAAAAAAAAATCAACCGTAATATTTCGGGCCTGATGAGTTGGTAGAACCATGAAACTTTAATATACACTTCGAACGTAGGTCTATGTATTGTTATTAATACATACTTCTTAGCTCTGTCAAACTACATTGAGCACTATTTTGTTTACACCTTAAATTAAATTAAGTAAATATTTATTCGCTCACCTGTGTATGCACGCTAACGCACGTGTATACGGTTGCTAATATCTACTTATTTGATTTATATCCACATTTATACCTATAAACATTAATGAATTTATTGTTTATACGTTATTTATATAGACACAAATATTTAAGTAAATGCTCTGTTTATAATAAACAGGATTAACAACATTTACTGGCCTGAGAATCCGAGAAATCTCAAAGAAAATATGTCTACTGCGACAGGAATCGAACCTGTATCCTACACGGAACTACGTGCTATACCATTTAGCTACAGAGGAAGCGTCTTGTAAGTAAGGTTGAATTACTGCTTTTAAACTACATATTTTCAGAAATTTCTCGGGCATTCGGTAAATGTTGTTAATAATGTTTATTATAAAAAGGGCATTTACTTCAATACCTGTATCTAAAAAAAATAATGTATAAACAATAAATATATTAAAATAACTGTCCATTTCATAATATACCTATATATATATATATATATATATATATATATATATATATATATACAAGTATATAATTGGTATATACGGAATGAATTCCAATAACCAACAATTACTATTCTTAAAAGAGTGCCCAATACAAAGTAGAGCAGATATAATTATTTTTTATAAAAAATATTATAACATAAGTATGTTATAAAATCACTACAAAAATAGCCATTTTGTTTCAACACACTCTGTGTCTTATCAAGTGATGATGTTGAAAAAAAAAAACATCATCACTTGATAAGACACAGAGTGTGTTGAAAAAAATGGCTATTTTTGTAGTGATTTCTCATACTTATGTTAGAATTTTTATAAAAATAATTATATATATATATATATATATATATATATACGCAGTGTAACCCGGATATTAAAGGAGTTGTCGGGACCGGAGAAGTCTCTTATATCCGGGTTTCTCTTATATCCGGGTTTGGTCTATTTTATATACATTAACACAGGCTCTAATTTGGGACCAGAGAAAATCTCTCTTATATCCGGGTTGCTCTTATATCCGGGTTTCTCTTATATCCGGGTTACACTATATATATATATATATATATATATATATATATAAACATAAAACATTAGGCAGCATATAATTTATATATAAAGAAATAATCACGCATAGAATCGATCAGCCAATAATAGCATTAATATTGCTGATTGATTCTATGTGTGAATATTTTTTATATATATATATATATATATATATATATATATATATAGGGGGGGGGCTCGCATGCTAACCCTGTCGCTGTGGCAAGTAGTTTTACAGGGTGGAGTTGTCCCTCCAGTTCTTAAATCAGGTTTGTCCTACTTCTAGGCCCAGCGAAGCAAGAAACTCCACTCTGACAAACTGTTAGGCCCTAACTAGAGAGAGGAGATAACTTTTTTTTTAAATTAAAATAAACCTCCCTTATTATAGGTTTCTAAATTATCGGTATTAAAGGTATTAATTAATGGTTTTCTAAAAATATTCGGTATTAATGATAGGTTTATAAGAACAGAACGATGGACATCAACGAGTTCATTTGCATTTCGCTTCAACATAATTAACTCCCAGTTTGACAGGGTTCTATACAAGAGGACCAACATGTTTACCAGATGAGCCACTTCATCTCTACCTTTTATTGAACTTAACAGGAGGAGTAAACTGTGGTTCTTTTCGCTTTGTCCATATTCTACTAATCCTGCTTTGGCAGCGATAACAGCGTCAAATTTTCCCGCGGTGTCAGTTTGTATTTGATGGTTGGTGGCAATGGGCGAGTCACTGGCTACACATTCTCGAAATAAATTCCAGCGTTTTTCTTTGGGAAACGTTTCTGGAGATCCTAATTATAGACTGACTTAAGGACTAAAGAAGTGAGAGACTCAGATTAAAGTCGGACAGAAGTGTTAAGTGTATTAGGGCCAGTCGAGTGTGAAATGTTGCTGACGGATTGGCTGATGCCAACAAAACACAAGGAGGAAGTGGAGGGTGGGAAATGAAAGAAGGGCAGGGGAAAAGAGAGAGTAAGGTGGTAAAAAAAAAAGAAACGTAGGGAGGGAGACGAAAGCGAGTTAGAAAGAAAGGGAAAGGAAATGCGGAGCGTGAGCGAGAAGCAAAAAAAAAATGGAGGCGAAAGAGATAGAGAGAGTGGATAAAAAGAAAAAAAGAAAAGATGACAAGAAGAGAAAAAAGCGGGGGAAAATGAATAGGGTGGAATAGGTTTGATTTTGATTTGTTTTTTTTTTTGTTTTTTTTTTTCATTTTTGGCAGGATGGAAGGTGAATGGAAGAAAATTGGTTTAAAGAAAGAAGGAAGGAAGGAAGGAAGGAAGGAAGGAAGGAAAGAAGGAAGGAAGGAAAAGTAAGAAAATAGTAGATATGTGAAGCAAAGAAGGTTTGGAAAAGAAAAATAAATATAAACTAAACAAAAGAGTAATGTCGACACTGCAGAAGAAAAGTAGATGAATATATTAAAAATAAATTTTAAAAAAAAGAAAAAGAAAAAAGAAAGAAGGAAAGAAGGAAAGAGATAGAAAAAAGAAAGAAAGAATAAAGAGCAAGAAGAAGAAAGAAAGAAAGAAAGAAAGAAAGAAAGAAAGAAAGAAAGAAAGAAAATGGGGAAAGAAAGAAAGAGAAAAAAAAGAAAAAAAAGAGACAGAAAAGAAAAAAGTAGAAAAAAGAAAGAAAGAAAGAAAGAAAAAGAAACAAAAAGAAGGAAAAGAAAGAGAAAGAAAAAAGAAAGAAAGAAAAAGAAACAAAAAGAAGGAAAAGAAAGAGAAAGAAAAAAGAAAGAAAGAAAAAGAAACAAAAAGAAGGAAAAGAAAGAGAAAGAAAAAAGAAAGAAAGAAAAAGAAACAAAAAGAAGGAAAAGAAAGAGAAAGAAAGAAAGAAAGAAAAAGAAACAAAAAGAAGGAAAAGAAAGAGAAAGAAAGAAAGAAAGAAAAAGAAACAAAAAGAAGGAAAAGAAAGAGAAAGAAAAAAGAAAGAAACAAAAAGGAACAAAAAGAAGGAAAAGAAAGAGAAAGAAAAAAGAAAGAAACAAAAAGAAACAAAAAGAAGGAAAAGAAAGAGAAAGAAAAAAGAAAGAAACAAAAAGAAGGAAAAGAAAAAAGAAAGAAACAAAAAGAAACAAAAAGAAGGAAAAGAAAGAGAAAGAAAAAAGAAAGAAAGAAAAAGAAAAGAGGGAAGTAAGAGAAAGGAAAAAATATGCAAAAAAGAGAGAAAAAGAAAGAAAGAATTATACTCGTGAAGAAAACAAAAATATTAACGAAAAATATAAAATAAAGAAAAAAAACAAAGGCCAGTGAAGAAGAAGAAAATTGGCGGAATACATTAAAAAGAAAGATAGAAAATGTATAAATACGAAGAAAGAAATAACAAAGGAAGAAACAGATAAAGAAAAACGGGATAAAACTAATAGACAAAGAATTTGGAATTTAACCATGTTGGGCACAAGGCCAGTGAAGATCGAAGTCATTATCAGTATTCATAACCAGTCACACTAAATCGTGTACCGAGGTGGCCTAAACAGGACGTTTTGTTATTATTAAACTTAATTTCGTCAGTCAAAACACTATATTTAAAAAGACACCGTGTGAAAATCAAACTCACTAAAACGGGTAATGATAAAGTGCCAATGTTGTTAATTCTTAAGTCTAGCCTTATTTGACACACGTGTGAGGCACTCAGTAAGTACCAAACTCATTCTTTTATGTGCCATATCAATTTAGGACATGGCTCTGCAAAACTTTCTTACATTGTTCTAAATAACTTTGGACCGTTCACTGCCGTTCTTCTCTGTTCTGACATCCATTCGCGCAAACACATTAACTGATCGATTCGTAGTTGCACTTTATTCTTCTAGCCTTGTGAGTGTTAAATTCTCTACGCCTTATTATTAAAACGACATGTTCATAAACCTTGATGAGTTGCTTAGTTTCAATAAGGCATCTTTGAATTTCATGAACTACATTGTTCTTCATCGGTTATCAATCTACTGAATTAGTTCAGTTTTTATATCTATTTGATTTTGACGTCCCCAATATGTAGCTCAAATCTTGTTCTGTACCTTATGCTAACAACCATGCACTCTGTCCTCTTACAACCAAACGTAGCTCAAACCTAAAAGCCACTCAAGTTAGAGGATTACTGAATGAGGTGTGTTGTGTGGTTTTAAGTGGAGGAAATGTATAGAGCAGTTTAGGAGAATATGGAGAATAGTTTTGAAGAAGTTAAGATTGTAGTGTACGGGGAAGCAACCCCGCAGGAGTCTTTTCCATAAAGGAGTTTAAATGGAATTTTCACCGTATGATTTGGGTACAGAAAGAACGGAGGCGATTCAACCCTGTGGATACAGCGTGTCAGAACTTAGCTGTAAAGATCTGAACCGGTGGAGCTGAAGAATGAAACAAGTCAGAACATTTGCCATGGTCGGAGATGTAAATTATTAACACAAATGATCAAATTTATCTCCAAGTATAGTAAGATGAGGAGGCGCGGTGGTGTAATGGATTGCGACACGGAATGAGAAATTGGAGAGTCAAGTTCGAATCCCAGTCGAGTTTGTTGTATTCACATTACTTTCTCTTACTCTTGGGAAAGGTATGAATATATCTCTTCTCCCCGAACCAAATTATTGTTGAAACACCAGTTCCCGTATGATTACTGAAGTTAAGCAACGTTGAGCCTGGTCAGTACCTAGATAGGTGACCGCCTGGGAATACCAGGTGTTGTAAACTTGCATGTGCAGGTGGCGTCATAGATAACACTATCCTGCGATGTTTTTAAGGTCGAATATATAATAGGTGATTTTAAAGCAGATTATTTTTTATAAGCTGAATCCAAAAATCATATTCATTTTTTCTAATCAGATCAAATTTTTAAGATACAAGCTCTTAGTTGAAATCTATAGAACAGTATTATAACTCTTTTTATTTTCTTGTTGAATTAAAATAATGCTAAATTTAGAGCTGATACACTCGCAGAAAGATCACATAGTAAACTGAAAAATACACAAAAGAAGCTATTCATAGATGAAAGGTTGTTTTTTTTTTCAGGGACTTCCTCCTCTTCTCAGCAGCCACCGTACCCTGTTTCAAGCACCAGCAGCAGTCAGCGAGAAATTTTACATCCCACCGGCCTTGATAACGCTCTTCCATAATGTGAATGTCTTGGTGAAAGCACACACCCTGCCCTTCTTTCAAATCTCCACAGTTCTTTGGAAAATAGTCCAAGTGTGACTGCAAAAAGTGCAGTTTCACTGACATTGTGCACCGAGTTAACGCAAACTCTTCAGCGGCTCTTCAATTTCCTTCTTGTATTCCGCAATCCGATAGTTTCCCAGGGAGTTTGTAACTACTGACGCCAGTGACTGCTCAGCACAGCGCTTCGTCAAACATTGGGTCGTTCATGAGTTCTTTATTTGAGGGCCGTCAAATATACCAGCCTTGAATTTCGCCATGCTTCTCTGTGGGAACTTCTCCTAGAGGAAAACAAACCCGCTGCCTTCCCTGTCTATTGCGTTCACAACGTTCTTCTTTACTACTAACTTGATATGTAAGGGTGGAAGCAGTATTTTGTTCAGCTCAATGTGAGTGTGAGACTGAACGTTATGTGTGCCAGGTTTTAACCCTTGTCTTTACTGTTGCAGTTATTTTGTGTATAATATGTAACTAGTGACTTGACTCACTTTATAGTCCACCAATAGAAGATTAACCAATCAGAAGACGTAGAATATTCAATCCGTCGTGTATAAAGGCGGCCATTTTGTTTACTCTACCCGAATGTCCAGTCTAGCTTGTCAGGCGAAGAGAAACAGAACGACGAACTACTCTCTGCTACTTTTACCAAAATATCCACGGCTAACCTGAACAACGCTTTCCTACTGTCTTCGAAATATTCACTGCTAACCTCTGGATTCTATACTCGAAGACGACCGTCATCATGAATAACATTAACGGCCAATCTTATCTGACATAATGTTGGCCGTCTGTTCGGTTTTCCAAGAGACACGGACAATAAGGATACTTTGTGTACCCACCTTGGACCAGTCCAACCATCTGAAGATCTCAACAGATCAACCATTTATGCTCCTGGTAGTTAACAACAGACAACAAATGATCCATGCTGTTGTGAGTTTCTTTCATTTGTACTGAATACCCAATAAGGATAGATAAAAAACTATTCCCATTATGTAGAACTGCTTTGAGCCGAGTGATTTGATCAATCCAGCAATGTCGTTTCAATAAACCAATGATAAGTTATCCTGGAACCAGGAAAACTGTCTTAATTCTCTCTCACGATCTTGATACCAGTAGAACGTTGTTCCCGGTACCAACAGATGTTTCTTTGTCTATATTTCTGAGATGAGGTATTATGTACAGTATTTACATTATTCGAACTATTGTCCTCATCTTTGTCGCCATATTTGTCACAACGTTTCGGCCGTTGTACGCTCCAGCCTTCTTCAGGTGTTTGGAATTTCTTCAAGGACACATGGCACAGTGGATAAAGCCGTTGGTTAGATCCAGTGACAGACCCAAAGAATGTGAGTTCAATACCCGGTTAAGGCAGTGGAGAACTTTCAGAGGGAAAATTAACAGGAGATAACTGATAACTGACATCCATCAAACATGGCACGTGGAACTAGAACAGTCTACCCCAGTGATCGAAATAAAGGGTTCAGTTCGAAATTCCAACCACCTGAAGAAGGCCGGAGCGTACAACGGCCGAAACGTTGTGACAAATATGGCGACAAAGATGAGGACAATAGTCCGACTAATGTAAATACTGTAGATGTTTCTCTTTCAGGTGTGAACCCAGCAGCTGAGCAGACTCCTTTGAAAGGTCCAGGTCTCGTGTCAGGTCGTTGAGTTCTGCTTGTGACAAGGGTACTGGCTGGTCGTCCTCTTCTGGTTTGTATGTGTCATCCCCAGCTACAAAAGTCATGTCACTATGTTCGGAATCAGAGCCATACTCCATGTTACCATTTGGCCTAAAGGACAGGTAGCTTTGGGTCATGAAGGATTGGTCTTATGGCAGAAGGAACATCCGGGTATTGGACCTGGTGCTTGTTCTTGTAATTTATTCCTTTTAGATTTAAAATGCGGAAATAGCAGTCCATAATGTGATCTTTCCCTTCCCTTCACACCATTGGAATGGTAAATGGCATACTCTTCCTTTTACCATTCCCCCAATCCCTCAAGTTCTCCACACATGTTTTACAGCAAACGTGGGGAGCGAATCCTCTAGTTTGACTCCAAAGTAATCGCGATATGCCTTCTTCACAAAGTCAGTGATTTTTGCTCGACGATTAAGAAGAACCACATTACCGCAGATACACCAGAACATGTCAGGATTATTCTTACATTTGCGATCCATTCTTACAGGAATACAAATTTCAAGCAGAAAAGAGAAAAAATAAATCAGCACTCAGCTTGTCGTTAACACTTCACACAGTACATTGAAATTATTATAAACTGAGGGATAACCCCCCCTTCTCTAGGTATGTGGGTGTTAGCGAGTAGGGAGGTACACTGTAGTTAGGTATATATATAATATTATATGCTATACTAAACCTCAGGCACCCACGATCAGTAGTGACAAGTAGAATCCACAGGCTTTTGAATAAGTGTTATTATTTTGTACAACTTGTTGTGAAGTATTCATGCACATCTTAAAAACCAGATTTGACCAAACACAATGAATGGTAATTTTGAATTCAGCATGAAATGGTGATCATATATCACTTGATAAATCTTTGACCTTTGGATAAAAAATGTTACGGCAAGCCAGTGTAATAGTTCGGAATTGTAAATCAATTTCCAATTCCTGTCGGATTCGTTATATTTACTTACGCGCAAATACACTTGGGAAAGGTATGAATCCATCTCTTCTCGCCCCAGCTATGAGTTAATTATTAAAACTTGTATCTCTAAATCATTATTATCTCCGAAAAAATTTTACAATATAAAAATAATTTCAGCTTTAAATACTCTGCAAAGGGTTTATAAGCCGTGTGTTTTAGAGTAGGACTTGGCGTATTTCCTGCTCTTCCCTTCTATTGTAACAATGGATCATTCCTACTTATAAATATGGCAAGCTACATTAGACTAGGATTTGAGTAGTTTATTTCCTAATAGCTTACATATGGCACAAGGACGAAACTATAGAGGACGCTGTGCGATTCGAACTATAGAAAACGAATCATTTAATCAATCAAGTTATGGGTAAACAGCAGGGTAGACTGGGACCTATAGGCTTGATTGGCAAATTCAAACTAGCTGGCAGAGGGTTGAGCTTCGTCTGGCTATCATTTTCTTTTCCTTTTTTAACCATTTCAACCTAAGCAAGGCGGGAATGCCACAAGTACGCAAGGGGCTACAGAGAGCGAAAGTGAGAGAAAAGACTGAGTATAAGGAGGATTGGGAGAAGTACAAAAGATGAACGGGATTAAAGGAGATATTAGATAGCGATATAAGTTGCATTTAAATTTTTAAGACTGTCCTTATCAGGAAAGCAAGTAAACGGAAGGGAATTCCACAAGCGAGAAAATAAACTGTCAGAGTAGAATTGACGGCTGGGTTTAGCTATTTCAACAGTAAACGGGTGGGACCTAATTGCCAATCTAGTAGCACGCTTAAATTCGTGTAGGCGGAGCACCAGGGAAAAGGCTCCTCGGAGCAGTTGCCATGAAAATATTTGTAGAAAAGAGAGAGCGAAGCCATATCAAAAGAAAGAAATTTTCATATTTGTCTACAATCACGATACATTTGTCGTTGACATATTTTCCGCAATTGCCAATGATACCCTGTCTATGTTTCGGTTTAACATGGCATGGAAAAATAACTAACCCACCTCCACCCTCTGAGCTTACTTTTCTATCTGATATTTAATTGGTTAATCAAGACATACATAAAAATCTAATTTTAATTCTGACCTTATATCCCGATCTTTAACTTTCGGAAAAGAGGCGACATATTGTTTTTAATTTTCTTTTTGAAATTTTTTAATCACCAGTTACTTACTATCGCCTGAAGAAGTACAATCATAGTATTGAAACATGAAAGCTTTTGTGTAGCGATTTCAACATGTTTTTATTATAATCTTTTATAATAAAAATAGTAATAATGCTCTACTTTGTATTGAGCACTTTTTAAAATGTGCTACAAACAGTGGAATTTTATTTCATCTGTTCTTTCGCACATGTATGGGGTGACTCCAAAAAATGGGAACTTTTTAACAATCCAATAAAACCAAGAGTGATGGAAGAAAACTATTTTATTCATAGTAATTGAAACCTTAAAATATGCCATTTAAGAAACAATGATGGAATTTTCATTTTGTAAAAATTACGTCCTGTAGATGGCGTCCTCCTGTACGAATGCATTCTTGAAATCTACTGTTGAGATTCCTCATTGACTGCTGCAACATCTCAGCTGGGGGTACTGTGAATTTCATCTTGAATTCTAAATGGCGAAATGTTTACTTGCTCAAGGTCGCTGTCTCGCAGTGTTGCCACTTGCTCATGTCTGGCAATACGCACTTCAAAAATTCCCGTTTTTTTGGGGTCACCCTGTATATATATATATATATATATATATATATATATATATATATATATGTGTGTGTGTGTGTGTGTGTGTGTGTGTGTGTGTGTGTGTGTGTGTTTGGCACTCAGATCCGAAAAATAGAAAAAGAAACAAAGTGACTGAAGTCAAGATGCCAAGTCACGATCGATTACATTCTGCCAAGAATCTTGAGATGAACAGCAGGAGCAGATATGTCAGCACCATTCAGTGCACGGGAGAATGGTAGATTTGTAAATGTACAAGATGGACTCTAAAGAGAAAAAACCTTCTGGCACGACACAGTGACCCAACATTCCTTGCAGTAGATGCAACCATCCGATTGCCCAAGACACACCACTGTCGCTACGGCTGCAGTACATATCGTGCTCCTACGACCCTCAGGAGTTACGGCACTCATGATCATGATAGTAAGATAACGGTATTTCGAGCTCGAAGCATTTTTGGACGTTGACAGATCCAATTTGCTTAAAAATGCGATGAAAAGCTATTTTTGAAATTTCATTACAATATGGCACCATTAGAATATTAGGCGTTTTTTTTTCTTCTTTTTCTTTCATTTCTTTTTCTTTTTTCTTGATTTTTTTTCTCGTATCCGTTTCATGAAAATAGTGTTCTTCAGGGAAAAAATAGAAAAACAATATTGGTATTTACAAAGGCGGACGATAGTATAAGAAATTTACAGCGATATTATCAGTGGCCAATAAACTGATATCTCCAATCGATACGTCTTTCGACTGAACTTTTGTAGACCAAACGTCGATCAGTGAAATATTGGATCAGCTTCAACTTTGTTTATTCCCGCAAATTCTATACAGTGTTAAGTCTTTCTGATCAGGAAATATCCAATCATAAAAGAAGAAAATAAAAACGGAATAGTTGTTGGCAGACGACATTTTGGGTGATATAGAAGGAACCGTAATCGATTTTGTTAATAATTTGATGTTAAGAACTAAACAATCAATTACAATAATAGATTCAAAGTCGCCGAATGAAAAGTTCATATTTATTACAGAAACGCTGAAAAGATGGCAGTAAATAAGAACAAAAGTCGAATTTTCCCAGCAACCCATGAAGATTGCAGTAAGTGTATGATAGGTATAATTTAAATTCAGTGTTATTGATTTCGAAATAAGAATGCATCGAAAATCGCCAACAAGATATTGTTTGTGACCAAAAATAATGCTTATATATATATATATATATATATAAGCATTATAAGGGGGTTGAGACATGTGTAGATAAGAAAATATAAAAGAAGGGCCTAAAAACAACCACGAGTTTACTTAATGAACAAAAATCAAAAACAATCACAGGCTCACTTAATGAACAGAAATCAAACGAATATATGTCAACCTAACAAGCTATAAGCTTTAATTGGATTACTCTTTCAATGTTCTGCCTATAGATCTTTCCAATCGACTGCTTCATAGGAAAGACCCAAAACTCCACCGAATTTCAAATTAATTTCTCCGTAGATTGTTTTTAAAATTTTAGATATTTATCAAACCTTAACCTCCCAAATATGCACGTTAAAGTAACGCGAACTGACAGCGTCTAGGAAATTGAATGAAACCTGTCGGGTAATTTATTGGGGCTGTTATAACGCGTCTTCCTCAATGTAGCCTTTATCGCCCACCCCTTAACCACCTTTATCTAGAGACGAGACGCGTTAGATTAGAGCAACATCCAGCCGACACCCTGGGGTTAAAATAGAAAACTAAAATGATACATATGACACACTCATATCCTCTCTCCCACCTCACTTCCCCACTTCGTTAACTTTGCGTATACTTGATGAGTTCCGTAAAAAACGTGTGAATTTCTTTTCATTTTTCATTTCAGCTTTTGGAAGTAAAGTCTGATGATCCAGAACCCTGTTAAAGGGGTTATGGTGAAATAGCTTATTACATGGAATCTTAACGTGGTCTGTCTTTTATTCAAATATATATATATATATATATATATATATATATATATATATATATATATATATCAATTATGTGGAGCAGTTCAATTTATATTACAATGAGTCATTCATATAAAAAGTAAATTAGTAAAGTTAATAATATAAGATGGGGAAATCCCTTCGCAAACAAAATTTTAAAGGTGCATTTACCTACAAATCATTCGATGAATGTTATGATCCTTGTTTTTAAAAATTATAAGCTGGATAAGGTCTTTCTTTAATACGCAAGTACTTTCAACTTTACCTTCAGGCATCTTTAGGCATGCAAGATTCGATTCGCATTCATTTTTTTCGTCTGCTACCTGAATTTTACCAAAAACAAAATAATTTCCATGCCTGAAGATGACTGAATGTACAGTTGAAAGTACTTGCGTATTAAAGAAAGATTTCAGTGTGTGTGTGTGTTTGTGTGTGTGTGTGTGTGTGTGTGTGTGTGTGTGTGTGTGTGTGTGTGTGCACGAGTCCATATGTGGGTGTGTGTAGGCTGTTTCGTATATGAAACAGACATTCCCCACTCGGTCTTGATATCAGTGTCCATATTTATTATATCTACACACGCTCTATTTTCAATAGTATTTTCATGCAATATATATATATATATATATATATATATATATAAAATTTGTCACATGGGTGATTGATGTTATATTAATAAGATGAAAATTTTGTTATCTTTCGGTCCAGTCGTCAGGAGGTATCACCGATTTGATCCGAGTGCCAAAGATACACACACACACACACACACACACACACACACACACACACACACACACATATATATATATATATATATATATATATATATATATACAAGGGCTAGTTTATAGTTGTTCCAATGAGAGAAAAGTGTATATTTTAAAGATGAAAGAGAAGCCGCAAACGCTTATGGGTATAATATGGAATTTTTTAAAAACTTTATTTTCTATATTTTTGCTACACGTCTTTCGGGTCTTGTGTCCTTCATCAGATGAAGAGTGGTTATTTCCACATATTATTTAAAGGAATTAATTCTTCTTATGTTTTCCTATGTTTTTTTGTTTGTTCTTTTGTGTGTGAGCAGTAGTAATCCAAATGAAGAAAATTTGAATTACTACTACACACAAAAGACACTGGTTAAACATCGGAACAATTTCAGATAGTTTATAACATCTGAGTAAACATTAGACTACCAGATATCTCAACTTCATGTATAAGACGCCGCCATTTGCACTTAGCATTACAGTATTATGGAATTAGGCTAACAACTGCTAGTCAATAATATCCTGGCGAATATTAGCTTACCAAGTGCTTCAACTTTGCATATAAGACACCCACACTTTCATTTAATATTACAGTGATATAGGCCAAGTAATTACAGTTTTCATCGTGGGGATAAACATTAGGCTAGAAGATGCATGCAATTCGCTCTTGGGTGGTATTTTGATCTGTTTTGGAGTAAAAAATGAATCTTTTAAGCCAATTGATATGGTAAGCCAACTTTTTCATGTGAATCGAATCATTTTGAACGGCAAAGGATATCCCAGTCGGGTACTGTGAGAAATTCGCCAAATAAATCATTTTTGACATTTTTTTTTTCGTGTTTAATATTGCACACCAGAATTACTTTTTAGTAAACAACCTGTATATTGAAAGTGCACGAATTTCGGATCATTCAGTGGTAAATTGACGTACAAGATCATACAATATACAGGGTGTTTCAAAAAGAATACGCCAAAATCATCCCGTGATGTGTCAAAAACAAAAAAAATTACAAACCTCTAGCATGAACACATCTATTGTATATACATTCATTTCATGTTTCATAAGTGCTCAATTCAGGAGAGCACGTTATCACGTAACAGTTCAATACTCTTTTCTTTGTTTTTAACGAAAATTTTCTGACTCTTGATACTTTGCTTAGCTTTTAGAATGCATTTTGACTATCCCAATACGTCTTCGTATATCAGTGTCGTACTTTCCGTCCTCTGTTAGAACACAGATATTTAAATTTTTGTGTCTGGTTAATTTTAGTATCCCCCCCCCACGTCTTGTAATTTGCATTTTGGGCTCACCCTTTTCCTGATAAACATGCATTCTGTCTTCTTGTAGTTTATGCTTAAGTCACTGTCGAATCAATCAACCAACGCCTTTATACATTGAGCCATGTAGCTTTGAGTTAATTACGGCCTTACGGTGTCCCTACAGGCCTATGTTAAGGAGGTAGCCTGTTTTTCCTTTATGTTTCTTGCCACGGCTGCATGGGATTGTGTACACACAGTCCTTAATCATGTTCTCCTCTGTGGGTGATCTTATTCGGGATAGCTGTCTGTATAGTTTTGAACCACTCCTGAAGGTTCTCCTGATGTTATATGGACCACGGATCTTTTGTATCTTTTCCGATAAGCTGTCCACATAGGGTAGGCAGACCGAGTCTGTTTTCTGAGCGCTGTTATCATCTTGTACCCTTCTATCCCAGTTTGTTGGAGCTGCTGTCATGTTCCCAGAGCTTACAACGGCTGAACAGTGCAATACATATAAGGTTGTAACAAAATTTCAAGAAAGTTTCTTTTAAAGAAAGAAAGAACGAAATCAAACTGTTAGTATTCCACGCTACCGAAAACAAAAGGTTTACAAGGAAACTTCACCAATATCAGAATGAGCTATAATATTTTTTTGTTTCTGAGAAGTCAAATACATCCTTGTGCAAATTAATTGAAACAAACGAATAATTCCATTATTATTTACTTTGTTTCGTATTTTAGAATGAAGCATGACACAGTGCACATGCTAGTACTTCGTATATCCATTCCATGAAGTCATTTTTTGCAGACTGACCACAGATTTTCGATTGGATTTAAATCAGGAGAGTTTCCGGGCCAATCTATAGTACTTTGATTTGCTCACTGGTAAGGCTTGCCAGTGTGTTCGTGCAGCGTCACAATTTTCGTACGCTTCCTTGGAGTATCGTTCAATGCAGACAATGACTGTAGGACAACTAATCGACAGTCGAGACAATAGTGTTTGGGCGTGATGAAAATCAGATGCAATCACGGATGACGCAATATTTTTCAAGGCCAAAAAAATTTCATCATACACAACAAAACAGATTCATATTAATGCACATAATTACAAACGACCTAATCTGAGGGAAAAAAATAGAAATCTATTACACCCTGTCACTCTAGTAGGTCTAAAACTGATCGTATGGTGAAAGAAAGGAGACTAAAGCGTTTATTTCAATTAATTTGAACAAGGGTTTAAATTGAAAAAATGTTGTAATAAAATGATTTTATAAATTTTAAACTGGCAGTAACATTAAATCAGTTTAAAATTCATAAAATCATTTTCTGTAATCAATCTTCAAGGAACGACTTCGTGGAAGTACTAACATGCACACTGGGTCATCTTACATTGGAAAAATACGAAAAAATGTTTGAAATTTCTCTGACGTTAAGGCCGGTGAATGTTGTTAATACTGTTTATTATAATCACAGCATTTACTTAAATATTTGCGTATATATAAATAATTTATAACAATAAAATATATTAGAATTATTGTCGAACAATGAGTGTTGAATGTTTCTTGTATAGAAACGGGTATTTTCAACATTATGATTACCATATTAAATATACAATTACATATAAAAAATTGATTTAAATATTGAGAAATAATATCTTAGGCAAGAAAGAAAGAAAGAAAGAAAGAAAGAAAGAAACCAAACTGTTAGCTTTCCATGCCATCGAAAAGAAAATGTTTACAAGGAAATTTCATCAATATTAGAAAGAGCTATAACATGTATTGGCCATGAATATCTATTTTTCTGAAAAACAGTTTCAAGCGAAAGATTTTATAAATTTCAACCCAGAGTAACGCTCACTGCTCAGTGAATGAATACAGAATGTTTCTCGCGTGGAAACAGTTATTTTCGCCATTAATATTCCCATGATCATACCGACAAAAATTGACTCGATCAAAAAAATTATATTTTGAAAAAGATTAAAAACAAGAGAATATAATAACGAAAAAAAATGTCCTAATATTATAAAGTGATATTATCCATAAATTTGAAATCGTTCATCTTGAAGTCATCGTTGATACACGAAAGAATCTGAATAAATAAAATAGTTTTGAATGACGACTGGGTGAGATTTTAGAGATAATGGAATTGAATCACCTTTAATGCTAAACACTTAAGAAAAAGACGGAATGATCCGAGAATAAAAAAAATAAACGTTTTATTTTTAATAAATTAGTTAAAAAATAAATGGATAAAATGAGAAGAAAAATAATTGAATGATTAAGTCAGAAAAAGAAGGGGGTTGCACCCTGACACTCGTGAAATGAGGGAGGAAAAAGATCAGGAATAAAAATAAAGAAGTGTAAGGGTTTCCTCTGAAAGAAGACTAAGAAAGAGTTTCAGTTTAAAGAAGAAGAAGAAGAAGAAGAAGAAGAAGAAGAGCAGAAGAGGAAGGTTCTGAAGTAGAAGAAGAAGAAGAGGATGAGTAGAGGCAGGAGAAAAAGGAAGTTCTGAAGAAGAAGGAGAAGAAGGAAATGAGCAGGAAAAGAAGAAATTTCTGAAGAAGATGAAGAGGAAAGTAAAAGAAGAAAGTTCTAAAGAAGAAGAAGGAGGAGGAGGAGAAGGAAGAGGTTGAGCAGGAGAAGAAGAAAGTTCTGAAGAAGAAGAAGAAGAAGAAGAAGAAGAAGAAGAAGAAGAAGAAGAAGAAGAAGAAGAAAATGAGCAGGAGAAGAAGAAATTTCTGAAGCAGACGAAGAGGAAAGTAAAGGAAGAAAGTTCTAAAGAAGAAGAAGAAGAGAAGCAAGAGGAGAAGGAAGAGGTTGAGCAGGAGAAGAAGAAAGTTCTGAAGAAGAAGAAGAAGAAAAGAAGAAGAAGAAGAAGAAGAAGAAAAAAGAAAGTAAAGGAAGAAAGTTCTAAAGAAGAAGAAGAAAAGCTAGAGGAGGAGGAGGAGGAGGTGGAGCAGAAGAAGAAGAAGAAGAAGAAGAAGAAGAAGAAGAAGTTGCAAAACTGATAAACTACAATAAAAAATTCTTAAATTGCCATATCAATAAAAAATGCTCGCAATTAAATTTTCAAAAATTTAACCTTGGCGTTGCGACTGCATCTGTTATCAATAACACGTTTAAAAAAAACAAAAAAAACATATTCCGATTTGCATGATATATTCTTCGTCTTGGATGCTACCTGAATTTTACCAAAAACAAAATAGTTTCCATGCCTGATGATGACCAGTAGAACCGTCAAAAGTACTTGCATATTTAAGGAAGACGTAATACAGTTTATAATTGAAAAAAAAAAACAAGGATCATAACATGCACCGAGTGGTTAGTGGGTTAATGCATCTTTAAAATGATGGTTTTGATGTCAATGAATGACATTCAACACCATCACTTGAGAAGACACCAGAAGTGTTGAAACAAAATGGCTATATTTCTGGTGATTTTATAACATTTTTATGTTATAAATTTCGAATAAATGATTATATATGCTCTACTCTGTATTGAGCACTCTTTTAAGAATATTATTTGTTGGTTATTGAAATTTATTCCGTATACACCAATCCTATACTATATATATATATATATATATATATATATATATATATATATATATATATATATATATTGGCACACGTCATCATTGAGGCACGTGTTGTTAAAGACTACGGAACTTTTTCATTTAATAATCCTTTTTTATATTTCTTCTTGCTATCTCAGTTATATATATATATATATATATATATATATATATATATATATATATATATATATATATATATATATATGGGTCTAAGGTGTTGAAAAAAGACCCTAGTCCTTGGTTCTTTGCCGCGCGGTTTCGATTGTCGTTAACCGTCATCATGGCTGTATGTCTCGGTTTGAAGTAGGTTGTTTATTATTTTAGTTTTATAGATAATACTTTGGGTATTTAGGTAGTGTTATTGGATTAGTCCATTACTAATTGGGAGCAACTTAGACCCAATTATAAAAAAAATGCGAGGAAGCAAGAAAAAACAGAAAAATCATTATTAAACAGAAAAATTCCTTAGTCTTTAACAACACCAGCCTCAATATATATATATATATATATATATATATATATATATATTATTTTGAAATATGTATTCATCGCGACACAGAAATTACCATGTTTCAAAACCAAAATCTTAAATTAAACTTAAAATTTAAAGTTTAGTTCCATTTTCAAGCGATGGTGAATATTGAAAATGGAACCGAACTTTAAATTTTAAGTTTAATTTAAGATTAAAGTTTTAGTTTCGAAACATGGTAGTTTCTGTCTCGATGCATACATATTTTTAAATAATACTTATATTATGCTCTACTGTTGTATCGAGCACTGTTTTTAAAAATAAATGCTAAAGAACACGGCATTATAAATCTGATAGTTCTTTCTTTTTTTGTTTTGGTATATATATATATATATATATATATATATATATATATAAAGAAGACAACAAAAATATTAATATCTGTCTATATCTCTGAGATGAGGTATTATGATTACTTGCATTATTTATATTACTCGGAGAGTTATCCTCATTTTCATTGCCATATTCACCTGAAGAAGGCCTGAGCGTACAACGGCCGAAAGGCTGTGAATGTGGCAATGAAGATGAATGAGGATAACTGCCCGAGTATTGTAGATAATGCAAATAAAAATATTATTTTCCATAATAATAGTTATAATATTTATCGTATATTATTTTGACCAAATGGAAGTATATGAAGTTCCAAGAGTCTCTGCATATATTTCACCTCAAGGACACATGGCACAGTGGATAAAGGCGTTAGTTAGATCCAGTGACAGGACCCAAAGAGTGTGAGTTCAATACCTGGTTAAGGCGGTGGAGAACTTAGAGATGGAAATTGACAGGAGATAACTGATAACTGACATCCATTAAACATGGCACGTGGAACTAGAATAATCTACCCCAGCGAGCGAAATAAAGGGTTCAGTTCGACATTCCAACCACCTGAAGAAGGTCGGAGCGCACAACGACCGAAACGATGTAATAAATATGACAACAAATATGAGGACAATAGTCCGAATAATGTAAATAGTGTACATAATACCTCATCTCAGAAATATAGACAGATACTGAATGGCCGAAACGTTGTAATAAATATGGCGACAAAGATGAGGACAATAATCCGAATAATGTAATAGTGTACATAATACCTCATCTCAAAAATATAGACAGATGCTGAAAGGCCGAAACGCTGTAATAAATATGGTGACAAATATGTGGACAATAGTCCGAATAATGTAAATAATGTACATAATACCTCATCTCAGAAATAGAGACAGGTAAGTTTATTATTTGTAAATTCAATAGCGAGTTTACTGAATTCTAAACTATATGCGTAATATTCAGTGCCAAAAGAATTGAAATCATCTGTGATTATATTTGTGACACACAGTATTTAGCTACGAACACATTACAATGATTTGTTTCTAAAACATTCAACATTGTCAGATTTAATGATAAAAAACAGAAATAAGCTGAGGTGGAGAAACTTGGAGAGGGGAATTAACAAGAGATAACTGATAACTGACATCCATTAGACATGGCACGTGGAACTAGAACAGTATACCCTAGTGAGCAAAATAAAGGGTTGAGTTTGACATTCCAACTACCTGAAAAAGGCCGGAGCGTACATAACTGATTGTTATTGGCAATGTTGTTACTTACTGTTTCCTCAGAAATTCAAAATAAACGAAATGGCAAAACCGATTCTATATCATGCTTTTCCTACACATGCACTCTCGTTTATATCATATATATATGATTGGACCGTGAATTTGGGAACATTAGGGAGATTTTCCTTAGTAACGGCTATCCGGCGGCCCTTATTGACTACATTATAAGTAAGAAAACTAAGGAATTTCATTCCCCTAAAATCCAGGGGCCTTCTAAATGTCCGGTTTATTTGAAGATTCCCTGGATTGGGGATAGTGGTCAGGGCTTAATTAAGCAGGTTAGCAAGTTGGTTTCGGTTGTTTCCCATCAGTTGCTTTACGTAGGATTTTTCAAACTAGGTCTGCGTTTCCGTCTTTTCGCAAGGATGTATTGCCCTACATCAAATTGAGTAATTTAGTATATGAATTTAATTGCCAGTGTGCTGCTGGTTATGTGGGGCGTACAACCTTGCATTTGGAAACTAGAATTAATCAGCACGTTCCTTCCAAAATACGACTTGGTAAGATAGATAGAATATGCTATCTTCCCCCCTGAATATGGAATCGGCTATTGCTCAACATTTAGTTGAGAATATAGCTTGTGCCAAGTTGTATAAAAAGAGTGGTTTAGAATTATTCATACAGCCGATTCCAATAATCATTTGAAGATTTTGGAGTCGGTCTGTATAGGATTTAGAAAACCTTCTCTCTGCCGGGAGAAAGAATTTATAAGGTCTCTAAATCTGTTGGGGGATATTTTATTTTAACTGTCCCTCGCTATTTATTTACACGATAACCCTTCCTCGTTACAAGTATATATACTTGTTTGTTATTTTAGTGTGTTTCCCCTCTTTTTGCTCTTCAATATCGCTATTATTCATTTCGCTAATCCAACGATTGTCTCCTGATGAGATGTTGGCTGAAAGGGCTCTAGAGACTTTTAATATTAAAATCAATGGTTTCCTAGTTTTTAAAACTATAAATAATATATATATATATATATATATATATATATATATATATATGATATTCTTTTTTCCTACACATGCTCCTTCGTTTACGTTTCTTCCTCATGAAAATGAATGAGGATAACTGCCCGAGTATTGTAAATAATGCAAATAAAAATATTATATTCCATAATAATAGTTATAATATTTATCGTATATTATTTTGACCAAATGGAAGCATATGAAGTTCCAAGAGTCTCTGTATATATTTCTCCTCAAGGACACATGGCACAGTGGATAAAGGCGTTAGTTAGTGACAGGACCCTAAAGAGTGTGAGTTCAATACCTGGTTAATACTGATTCTTTTTGAGAATTGTAGTATAAGACTTAAAGGTCGTCTTATACGCGGAAATATACAGAGTGTGTGTATGTGTGTGTATATATATATATATATATATAAGCGTTGTGATAAATATGGCAACAAAGATGAGGATGATAGTCCGAATAATGTAAATAGAGTCTATCTACCATTTTGATCACAATACACAGCGCCTTATTCAAAAATTGGAAAAAAATAAAATAAAAAGTTAAACAGCCAGGGTTTGTCGGTTTTTTTTTTTTTAATCAAAAGTATTTCATAATAAATATATTTTTTTTCAGCTGAGTAGATGACATAAACAAAAATTCTTCTCGATTCTGAATCCGAAACAAAAAAAAGTAATTGTGAACACCCTCTTCTAATAAAAACAAAATAAAAAATATGATAACTGATCAGATTTGACGAAGTGGACACCGATATCATTTGAGATTCCAAACAAATCTTTAACCTCTAACCGAATAAAAAGTTCATTTCTCAGGCCGCCTTCTTTCGCACCTTAGCAAAAACAAAAGAAAGAAAAAAATAAAATAAAATAAAACAAAGTCTAAAATGAATCGAAAAGACCAACAAGCATAAACGAAAAATAGGCGGGAAAAAAAAGTTGTTGGAAAAGATTTGTTATTCAAAGAATATTTTCGGTAAATGGAGAAAAGTTAATGTCATCAAGAACATTTTTAGCTGCATAAGTGATGACACTCGACCCTTTCGTCCTCCCAGTTTAGACCCTTGGCTTCTTCCAAGACTGTAGCTTTAAGCGTCTGACAATGATACGCGTTGGACATTTTATTTGTATCAACGTTAATACCGGAGGCTCTTTTCTCTGCAGTTGTATTCTTGCTGAACGCAAAGAAAAACAAAAGAATATTTTACTTGACATAAAAAATATATATATATATATATATATATATATATATATATATATATATATATATATATATATATATATATATATATATATATAGCGTATATTTCCGCGTATAAGGAAACCTTTAGATGAGACGAGGTCAAAAAAGATAGGAGATTTTCATGAAGTTATCTTATACTTGTAGGATAAGACGAATGCTTATTGATTGTATAAAGAAGTTACCCTTGGAAAAAGTAGGAATCCTCTTCTTCTCCCCCAGCTATGCGTAAACAGCAGGACATAACGGATGTTGGATGGCAACTGGTCTACCACAGAAAGAAATGGCAACCTACTGCGGGAAAAAAATTGCCTCATCAGTCATCTATCGAAAGATACATGATCGCCTAAGCGTGTATTATGCATGGCACATAACTGATTGTTATTGGCAATGTTGTTACTTACTGATTCCTTAGAAATTCAAAATAAACGAAATAGCAAAGCCGATTCTATATCATGCTTTTCCTACACATGCTCCCTCGTTTATATCACACACACACACACACATATATATATATATATATATATATATATATATATATATATATATATATTAGGTTGGTGCAAAAATAATGACGTAAGAATGTCGTTTTTGACGTAGAAAAGTACGTCAAAAAACGACATTATTACGTCATTATTTTTGCACCAACCTAATATATATGTTATTCTTTTTGATCCCTTCACCACAAGCACGGCCATAAAGCCGCTAAGACGCAAGAGATTACTGAATGTTTAAGAATATGAGAAAAACTATTATTAAGGAACAAGAATTAAGAAGACAGAAGACAAAGAGATTGATATTGGAGTTAAATTTTTGAAGATCAAATTTGAGAGGAAAGCAAGTGGCCAGCAGTAAATTTCACAAGCGACAAGTGAGTTATATTTATGGGTAAAAGTGCTCAATATCAGTATGTAAGTGCTTAATATCGTATGAATATATATATATATATATATGTGTGTGTGTGTGTGTGTGTGTGTGTGTGTGTGTAAGTGAAATATATATATAATATATCTGTAAAAGGACAATATGAATAAAGATAAGTTATCCTTTTTCTTTTTATATATATATGTGTGTGTGTGTGTGTGGTTACCGAATTTAACACAAAGCAGCGACAATCATGATCGAACTTCAAGCCATATCTCTCCCTCCCATCTCTCTCTCCCGATCTATCTATCTATCTATCTTTCTATCTATCTATCTTCATTCATTCCTCTGTCTCTCTTTTTCTTTCTCTCTTTCTCTCTCTATTTGTCTCAGTCTATCTATCTATCTATCTATTTTCATTTACTCCTTTGACTCGCTCTCTCTCTATCTATCTCAGTCTCTTCATTATCTATCCATCTATCTTCATTCATTGCTTTGTCTCTCTCTTTCTCTCTCTCTCTCTATCTCACTTTGTTCATATCTATCTATCTATCTTCATCCATTCCTTTGTTTCTCTTTCTCTTTCTCTATCTCTCTCTATTTATCTCAGTCTGTTCATATCTGTTCATATCTATCTATCTATCTATCTATCTATCTATCTATACAGATAGATATGAACAGACATAGATAGATAGATAGATAGATAGATAGATAGATAGATAGATAGATAGATAGATAGATAGATATGAACAAGGATAGATAGATACATAGATAGATAGATAATGAAGGGACTTGGATAGATAGATAGATAGATAGATAGATAGATAGATAGATAGATAGATAGATAGTACTTAGTCCTTGTCAAGCCTTTCGTCATTCCAGTCTTTCAAGGCAAGTGATTATAAACGATTGCGAAATGTTGTATAGTTACACAAAATTCAAAAATTTTAAAAGACTCTCTTGGGATATTAGTAATTTTTTTTTTTTTTTTGACTAAATGTGTGGTTTTGTTTTCCATGTCGACAATGTATGAAAGTTCTCAGAAGATATCTGTAGAGAAGACAAATTGAATAGAATAGACAATCGTCCTTAAGGTCCTTAATCCTTGCCGACATTGCTTTGGTAAAATCCCTCAGAGGCCGAAACGCAGCAGATAAGAATAGTTTTTCGTCTTGTCTCTTTTTATTCATTTTTTTACTCTATATATACAATCAATCTGAAATTATTTACAAACGCACACTCACACACACAAACGCATATATGTATATACATTACATTCACTTACGTGCTAATACCCTTGTGAAAGGTATGAATCCTCTTTTTCTCCCTCCAGCTATGGGTAAATAACAAGACAGACTGGAAATTTATAGCCTTGTGTGGCAAATGGCAAAAGGACAGCTATGAATTGAAAATCTGCGGAAGGTTGTTTGGGGACCTTGTGCATCAGGTCTCTCTAATCAGCCCTTCAAAAAGTGTGGATGGTTCTGCACAAAACCTTCCCCATTATAATCAAATCATATCTGCAAGTGTCTGGCTGTCGGTTCCTAGAAACTGAGTTGCTGACCCTCATACGTCAAATACGACGGTAGAGTCCACTGTATATATATATATATATATATATATATATGTTCTTTTTCGTTTCATTTTTTGGCAGTGCTACCTGATGATCCGGCGTCCTTTAAAAGGACTCTGGTGAAATATATTATTATAATAAATTAAATATAATAATAATAAATTATTATAATGGAACCTTAAAGTGGTCTGTTTTTCTTTATATATATATATATATATATATATATATATATATACAAGCATATGAGCAGAGCGTGCTTTAGACTGCTCGGCTACGGAGAGCTTCACAGCCAAGTCATGTAAGGTTCTGTTTCGGGAAAACTGGATAAAGAAAATGGCGAAAGACACATTCTTTCTATTTATTAAGTTTTCTCCAAGACAGAGTTCGGTAGACGAAATAAGCACCGGTTGAAAAACAGGGCGTTTACTCACATAATGGCATCCACTAAAATAACGTTTCAAACAATAAAACATGTATTAAAAATAGCTTTGATTACCTTTCGGATAGGAAACTGAACACATATGGCTTTCGTGAAAGATCTAAATGATGAAATCGCTTTAAGACAAATACTGCAATCCTTCTTTCATGTACATTTCATTGACTACAACAGACAAGGTGCTTTGATTTAGTTTTTTATACAATATCTCATGCGATCTAATAATTTATTTTTCTTTAAGATGATAAATTATATAAAAACTGCCCAAATGTTCTTTTTATCCGAGCGCTTTCGGCTATACATTTAGCGATTTTTAAGGATTAAATATTTTAACTGTTAAATAAGAAATAGTTTGTTGTATGCATGCTTTATAAAATGTTCTCATTTTTCAAAACACGGTCAAGATATTATGTCCATGTTCAAAGTTAATATTATCAGGTGTTGGGTTTTTATTAATGAGGCTTCCATTGTTTTTTGCCTTCTTTTGCATGTAGATGATGCTTTTACATTAGTGCTGTCAATACACACACAACACAACATACACACAAAATAAAAAGAGGAAAAACAAAGAGATACAGAAAAAAGAGAGAAAATAGATAAAAGTTAGTGAGCGATATAGTGCAGATGTTTGGTGATATATATATATATATATATATATATATATATATATATTTAAAAAATATGATTCCAACTCGCGACATAATTATATTTATGCTCTACTTTTGTATCGAGAACTATTTTTTAAAATAATAACTAAAATACTAAGGAACTTTGGATTATTTACCTAACCAGTTCCTTCCTATTTTCTATATATTTTCACACACACACACATATATATATATATATATATATATATATATATATATATATATTTTAAAAAAGATGCGTCCTTCGACAGGAATCTTACTTATATACTATACGGAAACCGAACGAATTTCCTTCATCATTCAGGCCTCTAAATGTTTTTTTCTCTCTCTCTCTCTCTCTCTCTCTATTTTTCTCTCTTCTTTCTTTTTTCTCTCTCTCTCTCTCTCTCTCTATATATATATATATATATATATATATATATATATATATATTTTGAAGGCAATTCATGCCAAGTAAGGCGGGAGTACCACTAGCACACAACGGGTTACAGAGTTTTGAGAACAAGTGTAAACATAAAGACGCGTGTTTGAGGAAAGGATACAGAAAAGCTCAGGGTGTCAGATGTCGATTGACATTGCGTTTGAATATTTGAAGAGTATATATATATATATATATATATATATATATATATATATATGTATGTATGTATGTATTTCGTAAAAAATATGCATTCTCCGACAGGAATCGAACCTGTATACTATACGGGAACCGAACGAATTTTCTTCAACATTCAGGCCGATAGATGTAATTAATATTTGCGGGTTATTTAACGCCATAGAATATTTTGAGATTGAAAGAATAGTTTTTGTGGATAATAACGTTTTATTGATACACGTCTTAATAATTAACCCATAGCTGGAGGAAAAAGAGGTGGATTCATATTTTCCAAAATGAATATAACGAACCCAACGGGAATTGGAACTCGGATCTCTGATTAACAATTCCGGACCATTGTCCATTACAACTGCACATACAAGTTTACAGTAACTGGTATTCACAAGCCGTTACCTATATATATATATATATATATATATATATATATATATATATATATATATACCATCTCACCCTTTCACTGTTGAAACTATTAAATGTAGCCGTCTCTTCTACTCCAATAGCTTCATACCTCGCACCTCTCGCCTGTGGAACTCCTTTCCCTATTCCAGTTTCCCTGAGAGCTATAATCTCCAACTATTCAAATGTAATGTCAATCGACATCTCCAGTTGTCTTGATCTATCCACTATCCTTCTCCTCATCCTTTCCTCTATCACTCCTATCTGATCTTGCGCCAAATCTTCTGTAACCCCTTGCGAACCTAGTGGCTTCCCGCCTTACTTGGGGTGAAACGCATAAAAAAAAATAGTTGACGTGAAGAACATGAGAAAATATATCCTCCTTCTCTCTCTATCTCTCTCTACCTGTCTTTATCTCTATCTTTCTCTCTCTTCCTCTCTCCCCCTTTCTCTATTTCTATTTCACACTATTTCTCTCTCACTTTCTTTCTTTATCTCTTTCTCTTTTCTATCACTCTCTCTCTATCTATCTCACTTTGTCTCTCTCTCTTTTTCTCTCTCTCTGTATCTCTCCCTCTTTCTCTCTCTCTCTCTCTCTCTCTCTCTCATTTACGTGCACACATACACTTTCAAACAAGTATACACAAATACCTACGTATTATATAAACACATGCCCATTTGAAACAAAATGGATAATTAAAGTCTCCGTCTTCTTATCATATTATAATCCTCTGTAGTCTACATTGCGTTCTCCCTGGATTTATATCATCCTCCTAATATATATATATATATATATATATATATATAATAGTGGACGTGAAGGCGAAATATATGGATAATGAATATTAATTCCCCTTTCTTTCTATCTCTCTCTCTCTCTATCTTTTTCTCTCTCTTCCTTTCTCTCTTTTATTCGCTATTTCTCTCTCACATTCTCTATTTCTTTCTCTTTTCTCTCTTTCACTCTCTTTCTCTACCTCTATCTCTCTTTTCTCACTTTTCTCTCTCTCTATATATATATATATCTACCTTTCTCATTTTTCTCTCTTTCTTTGTATCTCTCTCTCTCCCTCCCTCCCTTCCTCTCTCTCTCTCTCTCTCGCTCTCGCTCTCGTCTACGCCCACACATACCCTTTGAAACAAACACTCACATACCTTACGTATTATATATTCGTATGGTAATATAACAGTCAAGAATCCCCTTCTCACCCTCCTGCAACGCATATATTCTCCCTGGACTGCTTTACGGTCTGGATTGTGTCAACTGGACTATAATGCTTCTTAAGAAAGTGGAAACATTCCAGAATCACATCACGTGATAAATGGTCACCAATCACCACACAGATCGCTTAACGATATAAACCCTTCTGGAGACAATTGGACTGACCCTAATCATCCCCATAAAAGAGAGTAAACCCTTAAGTTACATGCTTACATGAAATGGAGCATAAGAAGATTGTCAAAAATATGCTCTGAAAGGCAGATTGCTGGCAAAAGTATTAGGAGAGCCCAGCGAAGACGGCGGTATGGCAACATGAGAACAATTCGATCTTGGATCCTTAAACCGAGCTACCCAGGCCTGTAAACTATTGGGAGAGTTGAATCACGTCAATTTATATTCTGCTATAGGAAGAGAGAGTGTTCTATGATGAAATCGAAAGGTAGACTGAACTCTTTAGCCTTGCTTGGAATGCAATCTATTCTAATTTCACAAATCCTGGTAGCAAACTCTACTTTCTTTCTAGCAATTCCTGCAGCCAAAATGGACATCAATGATGACGTCTCATTATACCAGTTGAAGAAAAAGAACTTGGAAATGATAGAAAGAATCGTCCTTATATTATCCCCCACTACCCAATTTTAAAAAAGCAATCATCTATAGTTTCACTGTCCAATTCTTATATGATAGAGTTTGTTATCATTGAACGATGCTCAACAAATCCATACACTCATGGAATTGCGTGCCTTTGTGTCTGTACTGAATGTAATACTAAAATAACTATCTCTCTTGTTGGCTATTGTTGTATGCGGGGGCTTCATTACTTTGTCCGATTCAGCAGTAGCAGTAACGGAAGTAATCAGCAGGAAACAACCGGAAGTCCCAGATCTCGTAAAAACTCTGACCTAGCCCTATTCGGTCTCTTTTTGCACTTTTCCCTTTCAGCAGTCGCTACCTTCAAGGCCAGTTTTTTTTGGTTTTTTTTTT